GAACAAAATTAAAAGTTGAATTAGGTTGACAAGAACGGGCGAGTTTAGGCTAGGCCCTTATCGGCTTGTTCCTTCTATCCTGATCGAGAGTTGCGTAGGTGTGCCACTATTGGGTATAAGACCAGCCCAATAGACCTGGTATGAGTGGTGTAGGATGTTGATTTGTTGTGTTTGCGCTTATTTTGGACTTTTACTCAAGCCATTGTGCTCTAAGAGGGGTACTAACTTGGACGAGTTCTTTTCTATGCCTCAATCAAGAGGACTTCAATATTCTTTCATTTATGCGTGTCGGTCTGATAAATATGAGCAATACCTAAGCAAAAAAGGAGGTAACCAGAATCGTGGTTAATGATACCATATTTGGGTTTAAAAACCTAATTTAAATTCAATCAACCTTCATATCAGGTCAAGATTCCAATTAATTCGGAACCAACGATATAGTTCAGGTTTGAATTAACTTTTTACTTTAGGACTAACAGGGCCGTATTCGGGCCTAGACCTCTGCTTTAGGTTTGAGTGATGAATTTAAATAATACGGAGGAAAATTAAATTAATCTATAGAGATATTTAAAATATGTAAAAATAATTAAATAACAGATACTTAATGAAACAGTTATGATAAACTCTGAGATCTTTTTATTTGATTTTAACTTGATAGCAAGGAAGAACAAGAGTTCTGAATTTATCCATTTAACTATTTCAAAATATCGATTACAATGCAAAGAAAAACTTATCCAGCTAGATGGATACATGAATTCAATTTGATCATTTGAAAGAAATCATACCATGGAGATGGCAGAGCAACAAAAAGATGAACACAAGAGTTGTCAACTGGTTATCTGGAAATTAAGCAGACTTGTTTGAAAAGATCTTGAGTTTTTCAAGTGTTTTCGAGACATTGCGTCTAGTTTTTGGAGAGAGAGTTTTATGAAAGAGGATATTTGGCTGTTATCCAAAGTTAGCTATTAATCTGTTGATTTGGACTAGTTCTGACAAAACTATTGGTTTTTTTTTAGGTGATTCTTTGACTTGAGTTTTTTGAACCCGAAAATCCAGTTGGTAATCGGCTCCTTCCGATCATGGTGGCTTTTATCCAGCTTGCTTTTCTTGTTGGATGAAAAGATGGTCAAGTTGCCATTAATGTTGACAATCCGCGCCTCACATGGGTCTATGAATAACGTTAACCAATCTTTTCAACTTTAGTGTGGCTCAAAGGCTTGGGCTTCCTAATGCCATGGGTTTTTATTAATTTTTGTTCATTGTTGGCCATTATCAAAAAGGTTCCTTTTTATCTTTTTCAAAGGCAAGGAAAATGAAAGATACTGGGCCTGGACTTCAACAGTTCTCTTTTTGAGAAACATGCCGTTTTTGGTCCATTTTCAAAATATAGTACAAACAAGTTGACTTAAGAGCATCTCACTCTCCCAATGGAAAATGACATTAACTTGCATACTAAAGGTCTCAAGTTCGAACCCCCATTATATCTTAGTTGTGTGCGTGTGTGTGAAATCCTCGTCCCTATAATTTAGACTATTCTTGTACTAAATAAAAAATAAAAAATTCTCCCTTTCTAACTTGACATTTTTAGCATGTAAAAAAAATAGTTGAAACTCACTCTAACCATGTTACATCCTTTGTGGAATATAACATTTCTCTCACATTGTTATTTTTGGTTGTTTGACTTTGTGATATTAATTTTTTATTTTATTATCATTTTTCAATTAATGTGCCTAGAAAGTAATAATCCAATGAAAATATTTTTGCTCACCATTTCAACTCAAGGTGTACCATTACCATCCTTCTCAACACTTGACACGTGTCCATGGGCATAACCATAACTCTTTGCTTTGTATTTGTTGAACCATGGTTATGCTCATGGACACGTGCCAAGCGTTGAGAATGGTGGTGATGATACACCTTGTGTTAAAGTGGTGAGCAAAAAGTAAGATTTTAATTTGACATGTCAGATAGAATGCAAAACTTTATTACATGTCAAATTGCCACATAAGCCATCAAATTCAAATTTAATATTTGATATTTGATATCTCCTTTGGTAGATGAATGTACAATCATATCAATTAAAAAGTATAAATAAATCATAAAAGAGAAGAAAATGTTAATTGATAGGGTTGTCCACCTCATCTGCCACGTAAGGTGATATGAGAATGTGGTATACAAATGTGGTAAAAGGAGCATTACATGACACTAGTTTTAGTACACCTGGGGCTTGTTTGGTACACCGTTAGACTCTGGATATGAGTAAATTGTCCATGTTAGTTGTTTGGTGTCAACTTGTATTATTTAATTAGCTTACTATTTTAAATGGTTTGGACTTTTAATACTCTCCTTACCTGACTAACTAATACAACCCACACACCACGGTTTAGATAATACACGCTTAATTATAAGGCTAGAAAGAAAAAAACACTCGTTCTACGTGAAAAATCATACACTATTTAGGCCTCATCATTTGGCCCGCGGGCTCATGGGCCGATGGGGGCCCGCCCGGCCCATTGGAAAAAAGCCCGGCCCGGCCCGTTATGGGCTTTGAGATGGCCCGGCCCGCCTTGGGCCGGGCTAGGCTTGGGCTTGGGTGTTTGAAGCCCGGCCCGATTAAGCCCAAGAAAGCCCGGCCCGGCCCACCCACAAAAGCCCGGCCCGTTAGGCCCGCATACATATATAATTATGTATAAATAAGAGTTTAGGATTAGGATTATATCACTTAAATCACATATATAATTTGTTTCATTTCATTTACTTTTCTTTACTCATTCCTAATTTATAATTGGATGATTAGCACATTAATTTGTGTCAATTATTTATACAACAATTATATATATATAAATAAGATGAACAATATATCATATCACTAAATATAATCATATCACGAAACATAATCGTACTACTACCACCAAATATAATAATATTTTTCTTGAACACATCACCAAACATTTACATATTTATTTATACCATCCTTTAAAAAAATATCTTTTTGATACTTATTATTTTTTAAAATTATTTCTTAAAACGTATTACGGTCTAATTATGTAATAACCTCAAAAATAATACTTTGTTTTATTATTTTTGTGGAAAATCTTATTAAGTTGTGTGACTTTATTGGGTATTTTATGAATTTGGTTTGATGTGAAAATATTGGAATTAAGTGAGTTTAATCTCAAATTTAGACTAAAATGCCTTATAATTAAGTTTATGATTTTTTTCGAATGAAGTAGGCCCGTTTCGGCCCGGCCCGTTGGGCTTAGCCCAGCCCGGCCCAATGGACTTTCTCAAGCCCGACCTATGGGTCGGGCTTGGGCTTTGAATTTTCTAAAAAAACCCGGCCCGGCCTGGCCCGATATTTTCTCTCTCCTCTTTAAAACCCGGCCCGACCCGGCCCAAGCCCGTTAAATTTGGGCCGGGCCTAGCCCGGCCCGGCCCATTGACGAGCCCTACACTATTTTTATCTTCTTCTTCTTAGGGTTCTTCTCTGCTATCTCCTCCAATGGTTATTCTCTTCACTCTTCTCTAGGTATCAATCTCTCTCTCTCTCTCTCTCTCTCTCTCTCTCTCTCTCTCTCTCTCTCTCTCTCTCTCTCTCTCTCTCTCTCTCTCTCTCTCTCTCTCTCTCTCCAATATGCTTTTCCTCTTCCCTCTTCATCTTCTTCAGAGTCTATTTGGTGACTGTTTGTGGAAAACACAAATCAATAATTTGTGTGTGGTGGTTTTTTTGTTTGAATTTTGAACACCCAAGTTTGTAGCTTTGCTTGGTGTTGAAATTCATTCTTTCCCATTTATGTTGTCTCAATTCAAACAGCCAAACAAGTTTGGTTCTCAATCCTATTTTAATTTTTAAATTGATGGGTCAGTATAATTGGCTCTCGATTCAGGTTTCTTGTTTTAGTATTAGGCAGTTGTTGGATGTATCTAATGGCTAAAATGATTTGTCAATAATTTGACCCCAAAAATAAAATAAAATTGTGATATGAATCTTACCAAAATTTATTTAATGTTTTATTTAAAATAAATAAAATTAAAAAAAAAAGAAAAAAAAAAAAAAACAACGTTAATCCGATAGAGCACCAAACACATTAGAACTTAGTCAGATTATTTATCCATAACAACACCAAACACCTTATAATATTATAGATACACAGTCAGTATTCTCTGGAACATATTAATACTATCCTGTATAAATTAGTCAGTACTATCCGACATATCAAAATAATCCTAGGGTGAAAATTTGGAATCAAAATTTGGTGCCGGGTGTAGTTTGGTTAAATTGTTGGGTGCATTCATAGGCCTTCTTTTTTTTTTGGGCCCAAGCATTTGGAAGCCGTAAAGAGTTAAAAGAGGCCCTTTTTCAGTCGAAAAAAGAAAGGCTTTGAGTTTGCAAGCCGAAAACCCTCTCAACCGTCAAAGCGTCCTCTCTGATTAATTCTGATGAAATTGCGCAGTCGTTGAGTTCCCCGCGTCGCCGTCGACCCTCTTGAGCCGCCGTTGAGTTGCATTGGTGCCATCTGCTGGTAAGTTTCAGATTTCATGGAAATTTTCCATTTTACATGATTAATTTGTATAATTTTTTTAATTTATTTTGTGCAAATTCTGATATGGATGTTTCCGTACAAACTTGTAATTTTTTCGTCGGTGCAAATTCTGAGTTCCCTTCGTTTTCTCTTTCGACGGAAACAGTTTGATGATATGTGCAGTTCCCATCTTTTTCTTTTTCTTCTTTTTCGTTCAAATCAGATTACTTTGGACGAAAGCTCATGTTTTGTTTTTTTGTTTTTGCAAATTTTTCGAACATTGCTTTTTACTTTGCTTTTCGTTTGAATCTGTTTCAGGTTTTTCTTTCTTTGCTTAATTGGTGTTTACAGGACCGCACTAAAGTACTTCTGTTCAATAGTAGAACCCAGTTGAGACCGACGTACCAAAAGGAGCCCGAATCACAATCTTCATCCTAAGCTCGCATTAGCGCCTAGGATTTCAGATTATTAACTCTAATGGACCCTAGATACACAGGAGAGATATTGAAGTAAGTCTTTTTAATTGATTTTTTTTTTTTGGGTATGAATATTAGTTACATGTTTTTGTAATTTTGTTTGTTTTATTTTCTGTTTATAGGCATTTGGAGAAGCAAAGTGAGCTCCTTAAGGAAGCCAAAATATCAATGTCTGAAGAATTGCATCAGTTGAAGGTAGTCCCTTAATTCCTCAGTTAGTTTTATGATCATGTGCTTGAGTCTAAAATTAAAATTAAAATATGCATGTATGTTCATATGGGAAAATATGATGTACAATCTGCAGATGCTAGATGGTATTGATATACTGTGGTACTGAAGATTCCAGATGTACAATTTGCAGGTAGAAGAAGAAATGCTGATGCGCAAGTTCTATGAGATCATGTCAGCTCATGGTAAAGTTAAAAAGGTCAGTTCTTTCTCAGTTCTATCTTTTTATGGTTTTGTTTACATGATTGCCTAGATTTGGACCAACTATTTTGAAATTTCTGAATGGATCATCTATTTTATTTTACCTCTTCATAAGGGATAGTAAGGCTGTAAAAGGGATATCATGAGCATATCCATAAATTATTTTTGAAATTCGTAATGGTTGGCAATACGGGTGATAGCCTTTAGTTACACAGAGTGTTGCTTGGAGAGTGGTCACATTTTTATTTTAAGTAGATTTCTTACATATCTAAGGGAACGCAACAAAATTTTAGGGACTCAGAAATAACTGATATAAACCAAATATATCAGCAACTTTTGATGAATCTGGCTAGTGGCAACCTTGTGGTGTATAATCAACCTCTGACAAATTCGTGATTGAGATTGTGGTGGAGAAAAACCAGTAGTTCTTTTTGTTTATTTTTGCTTTTGGTATTTGAACACATAGTTTGTTGTTTAGTCAGCATGTAAGGCCTTCTTCAACCCATGAGGGGCTAAACCCAAATTTTCCCTCTCTAAAAATTAACTATTTGGGTTTTGTCCGGATTCAAATCATTTTTCTCCCTACCCTCAGTACTCAAATTTTAAGTCCGCAACTTTATTAAATTGTTTAAAAATGGTTTAAGTCTTTTAAAAAAAATAATAATAAATTAAATTATGGATAACTTTTCTTCATTTAATCTTTTTAAATAACATCATAATTTAATTTTTTGAACAATTTGACCTTAAAAAAAAATTTGAAATTCCATAAATTTAATTTTATTCCAAAAGTAAACACACAACATAATTGAAACACAAAATGAGGATTGAAACAATTGTCGACCTCATTCACCATCTCCAAAGCTCCTCCTAAGGTGATTGATCAAATCATGTTGGAGACTCTGATGCACATGTGGAGATTGAACTCTATTATGACGAATCATGTAATCAGAGAGAGTCTGCCTATCTTGGTGGTACTCATTTATAATGCTTGGCTCCCGCTCATATTGTCTTGCTCTAGCCCTCTTGGATCGTTGTGGACACATATCCTCATCATCATATTCCTCTTCAACATATTCGTACTCATTCTTCACAATCATGTTGTGCAAAATTATACACATCATCATGATTAAGTGGAGGCTATCCTTGCACCATATACGTGCAAGGCCTCGAACAATAGCCCATCGAGCCTGTAGTATTCCAAATGCTCTTTCAATATCCTTCCTGTACGCTTCTTGCATTTGTGCAAAAAGCCTCTTCTTTGGGTTATCAGGAGAAGATATGGTCTTCACCAAAGTAGCCCAACGGGGGTAAATCCCATATGCCAAATAATAGCCCAAATGGTATTGATTTCCATTGACAATATATTCAACATGAGGAGTTATTCCATGTACCACATCATTGAACAATGGAGAACGAGCTAAAATGTTGATATCATTGTTGGATCCAACGGCTTCAGAAAAGGCATACCATTTCCATTTGTCGTATGAGGCCACAACCTCTAGCACAGTAGTGGGTTTTTTTTTGTGACCGGTAAACTGGCTTGCCCCATAATATGGGCAATTCTTCCATTCCTAGTGCATGCAGTCAAGACTTCCTAACATGCCTGGGAAGCCTTGACTACTTGCCTTGTGCAATAGCTTGTAAAGGCCAGCTGGATTTGAGGACCTGAGGTATCATTGGCCATACACGGCTTCAACAATACAACAAAACTTACGAAGTGACTCAAGAGCTGTGCTTTCACCCAATCTACAGTACTCATCGGTCGCGTCAGCTGAGCATCCTCATGCGAGCATACGAAAGGCAGCAGTTAACTTTTGCTCAGGGGATAGCCCTTGTCGGCTGAGTCTTTTTTTTTTTTTTTTTTTTTTTTTTTTTTTTTTTTAGTATGAAAGAAGTAGTATGGGTCGTGGACAACATCATTCAAGATGCGGTAAAACAACTCTTTCCGCATTCGGAACCGCCTACGAAAGTCTGTAGTATTAAAATGTGGCCTTTCAACGAAGTAGTCGGACATGAGATTGCGATGGCGATCTTCCCTCTCACGGTTCTTGTACACGCGACTGACTATTGACCCACCATGTTTGGTGGCTTCATTCTCCTGTGAAGTATGGTGCACAATGGCTTCTATCACTCTCTGATGATGTTCTTCATCATTTCAGAGAGTTCTTCATCATCTGAATCATCATCAAACATAAAGCAAAATATGGCCTTGCCACGGTTATCCATTGAAAACTTCAAATGATATGAAAAGTATGAGAATGAAGAAGATTATGTGCTTGAAATTATATCAAAAGTTTGAGAATGAAAGAGATTGATGAAATTGACAAAGGAAAAATAAATTGAGCAATAGAAAAAATGTTTTGGGTAGATTAATTGAGAAATGAGTGAGTATTTATAAAGTTTGGTGTGAGTTTTGGGGTTGGATTTGATTTGGATTAATTTAAAATATAATTTTGACCGTTGGATTTAAATTTCAGTCGTTGGATCTTTTTTTTTACCGTTAAAATAGCTTAGATTTAATCTAGATCATTAATTTAAAGTTACTATTAGAATTTATAAATAAATATAATTAAAAAAGAAAAAGAAAATAGAGAATATTTGAATTGCAACGTCTCTTTGAGTTGGAAATAGCCAGCATGTGGACCCAATATCTTTTTAGAGATAATATTTGATTTTTATTTTTTATTAAAAGGAGATAGCTAAATTGCAATGGCTTTCTCATCTAGTGTCGACACGTAGCATGGGCAACAGACAAGCCCATCAGAGCTGGTCCTAGTGTTTTTCTCATGCACATGGGCTCTGCCATCTCAGCATGGGTTCTACCAAATAGTTTTGGGTCTGGCCAATAAGGCCATCTCTAACCCAAGGACCTAAACTCAAAATATTCCCCAAAACCTCTCCCAACCCAAGAAAATGAAGGATCCAAAATTTGGGAAAACCCAAATTTTGACCCAAATATCAGTCCACTTATTGCCCAGACCCAAAACTATTTAGTGGAGCCCACACTGAGATGGCAGAGCCTATGTGCATGAGAAAAACACTGGGACCCGTGCTGGGACTAGCTCTGATGGGCTTGTCTGTTGCCCATGCCACGTGTCGGCACTAGGTGAGAGAGCCGTTGCAATTTGGTTGTCTCCTTTTTTTTGTTTAACAAAAAATCAAGTAGTATCTCTAAAAGTGATTAGGCCTACATGCTGGTTGTTTTCAGCTCAAAGAGACGTTGCAATTCAAAAATTCTCTTTTTTCTTTTTTATTATATTTATTTATAAATTCTAATAGTAACTTTAAATTAATCGATCTAGATTAAATCTAATTTTTTTTTTTTATTTTAATTAATAAAAAAAAAAAAAAAAAAAAAAAAAAAACGACTGAAATTTGTTGCACTGTTGAAGCCGTGTATGGCCAATGGTACCTCAGGTCTCCAAATCCAACTGACCTTTACAAGCTATTGCACAAGGAAAGCAATCGAGGCTTCCCATGAATGTTAGAAAGTCTTGACTGCATACACTGGGAATGAAAGAATTGCCCGTCTTCTTAGGCATGCCAGTTTACCGCTCATTAAAAAAAAAAACACATTATTGTGCTAGAGGTTGTGGCCTCGTACGACACATGGATATGACATGCCTTTTTTGGAGCTGTTGGATCCAACAATGATATCAACATTTTAGCTCGTTCTCCATTGTTCAATGATGTGGTACATGGAGTGGCTCTTCATGTTGAATATATTGTCAATGGAAATACCATTTGGGCTATTATTTGGCAGATGAGATCTACTCCAATTAGGCTACTTTAGTGAAGACCATATCTTCTCCTGATAACCCAAAGAAGAGGCTTTTTGCACAAATGCAAGAAGCGTACAAGAAGGATGTTGAAAGAGCATTTGGAATACTACAGGCTCGATGGGCTATTGTTCGGGGCCCTGCACATATGTGGTGCAAGGATAACCTCCACTTAATCATGATGACGTGTATAATTTTGCACAACATGATTGTGGAGGATGAGTACGAATATGTTGAAGAGGAATCTGATGATGAGGATATGTGTCCATAACGATCCAGGAGGGATAGAGCAAGACAATATGAGCTGGAGCCAATCATTACATATGAGTACCACCAAGATAGGCAGACTCTCTCTGATTACATGATTCGTCATAATAGAGTTCAATCTCCACATGTGCATCATAGTCTCCGACATGATTTGATCAATCACCTTTGGATGAGCTTTGGAGATGGTGAATGAGGTCGACAATTGTTTCAATCCTCATTTTGTATTTCAATTATGTTGTGTGTTTACTTCTGGAATAAAATTAAATTTATGGAATTTCAATTTTTTTTTTTAGGTCAAATTGTTCAAAAAATTAAATTATGATGTTATTTAAAAAGATTAAATGAAGAAAAGTTATCCATTAAAAAAAAAATAGACTTAAACCGTTTTTAGGCCTTCTCCAACCCATGAGGGGCTAAACCCAAATTTCCCCCCTCCAAAAAGTGACTATTTGGGTTTTGCCCGGACTCAAATTGTTTTTTCTCCCAACTCTACGGACTCAAATTTTAGGTCCGCAATTTTATTAAATTATTGAAGAATGGTTTAAGTCTAATGTTTTTTTTTGGATAACTTTTCTTCATTCAATCTTTTAAATAACTACATAATTAAATTTTTTGAACAATTTGACCTAAAAAAATTAAAGTTCCACAAATATAATTTTATTTCAAAAGAAACACACAACATAATTCTAAAAGAAAACACACAATACTTCAAATTTACCATACATGAATGCCAATAGGAATAAACTAATAACCACCATCGTGGGAGCTTGGATAATAGTCTCCAGAGTTATCTTCAGGATTAATGGTAGGCTGTTGACTCCCTGCATGTTCTTGCATAATTACATCTTGTTTATCCCCCCAATACTTCTTCTTTCTTGGAGTAAATTTGGACACGTCCATGGACATTAAATTTTGTTCTTGGGCTTCCTTATCTTGTTGCTTCTGATACGCATAAGCATCATCTTGATCTTGGACAAACTTGTCCGATATGTTGAGCTTTCGTCTCCTATCATCCTCGAAAGCAATACCTTGCTCCACTAATATTTCTAAGTGCTTATCCCTTTTTTTGTTGAGAAGGGTCAGCCATCTTCCCTTTTTTTTATTTTTTGCAGTCTTTTGTTTATCTCGACCCTCAGGCCTTGGACTAGGCATGGTGATTTCGTCTGCATCGTTATCCAAATTCACCATACTTGCACTAGCTCCAAAAGAACGTTGTGTGGGAGGCTCGTTTATATCGTTCCAAAATGCGAAAACAATATTTCTTAATGATAATAAGCCTCTAAATAGGCCTTTCAAGTTGTACCATGCTTGGGAAATCTTAAAAGATTGCCCAAAGTGGAACGATATAAATGAGCATCCCACACAACGTTCTTCTGGAGCTAGTGCAAGTATGGTGAATTTGGATAACGATGCAGACGAAATCACCATGCCTAGTCCAAGGCCTGAGGGGCGAGATAAACAAAAGGCTGCAAAAAAAAAAGGGGGAAGATGGCTGACCCTTCTCAACAAAAAAGGGATAAGTACTTGGAAACATTAGTGGAGTAAGGTATTGCTTTCGAGGATGATAAGAGACGAAAGCTCAACATATTGGACAAGTTTGTCCAAGATCAAGCTGATGCTTATGTGTATCAGAAGCAACAAGATAAGGAAGCCTAAGAACAAAAAATAATGTCCATAGACGTGTCCAAATTTACTCCAAGAAAGAAGAAGTATTAGGGGGATAAACAATATGAAATTATGCAAGAACATGCAGGGGGTCAACAACCTACCATTAATCCTGAAGATAACTCAGGGGACTATTATCCAAGCCCCCACGATGGTGGTTATTAGTTTATTCCTATTGGCATTTATGTATGGTGAATTTGAAGTATTGTGTGTTTTCTTTTAGAATTACGTCGTGTGTTTTCTTTTGAAATAAAATTATATTTGTAGAATTTTAATTTTTTTAGGTCAAATTGTTCAAAAAATTTAATTATGAAGTTATTTAAAAAGATTGAATGAAGAAAAGCTATCCATAAAAAAAACATTAGACTTAAACCATTTTTCAATAATTTAATAAAGTTGCGGACCTAAAGGATCAAGTTTTGCCTGTTTTACCTTTTCCTTGAGTAAGTGAATACTGTTGTTTTAGTCTTGGCAGTTACTTTGATTTATGCATTTCTTTTTCGCCTGTTGGTTTTTCTGATCTCTGTGCATTTTTGCAGAGTGAAGATCCCAGTAAAGTTTCAGATGATGGTGAAATTGGAAACTCCACTGCAATAGTCACTACTACTAGCAATGAAGAATGCAGATGACTTTCAAGTTCTGTTTTCACATTCTCGGGTGACTGTAAATATGCCGCACCTCTTTTTACTACTTGAGCAAAGTTTTGATTGTTCAAATTGTTGTGGAGAGCGAATGGGACGAGTCAGATCCCACATTGAGGCTTCAAGATCCACAAATTTACATCACGCTCAGATGATTCTGGTTTCTGTATCTGTACGGTGCACATTGTAAACTCTCTTGCTTAAATCAATTTTCTTCGAGACTAATGATTGATAAAATCCCTAATGGTAAATATAATCTCTTCCTTTTTTTCTTCTGCACCAATTTTGTTCAATTTGTCAGGTCATTTATAGCAGCATCAGTGACCTTATAATTGAATTTTAAAAATAAAAAAAATTTGTGCCACATAAGTTTTCATTAAGCTCTTCCAGCTTCTTAGTATGCTTTGGTTTATCCTTGGTTAATCACCTCAATAATTTCAGAAATGGTCAAACCATATCAGTGATTAGGTTCTGTTAGTGCTTCTAACAATGAACACATAAGCTGCATCTCTGATTATAGCAAGAAGAGGGTTACATATCAAGGATTACAAGTCAAAAGAGTCTGCCTATTGTGCATAGATCCAGATGACTACTTTGAACTAAATAATTTTTCTTCAAATCCAGACTGCTAGACTAGTATCAAAACCCTTGGATTACAAAATTACAAGGTCACCTTAGAATCAGATTTCCTAAAATTCAAGTCCTATCGTGGAAAAGCAGCCAACAGTCTGAGTGAGTTGCCCCTCCTAATGCATTCATGTGAGAACAAAACGACACTGAAGATAACCTGCAATTAAAAAAAAATCCTCCATATAAGCAAGCTTGCAAAAGAGGAAAATCACAAACTATTCAACAAGGAAAAGTCTTACTTGGGTCGTTGTTGATTAACATGGCAGTCCCACCAAAACTGCAAGTCCCTCCATTCCTCTTGTTCTTCTGCCAGTAGCTATTGAAGGCATAGGAGGCATGGGCTACAACAGAATCAGGACTGTAACAGTTGCCATCCGGCATAATCGCATTGCAATCGGCACCACCATCTCCACAAGCATAGTCCATTGCCACCTGCAGAGTGTCTGCAGGAACAGTAGGCTTAGCCACACACCACAGCTTGTTATGCACCACTCCCACTTGAGGGGCTGGGGCCCCTGCATCATGTCTTGGGTTACATGGGGGCAATGTGAAAGGAGAAGGTGGAGGGGCTTGATCAGCGAAAGGAGGGTTTTCTGGGGCTGAAGAGAAAGACATTGAGGGTGGAGAGGCTATTTGGGTTTCTGGGGAAGGCATTTTTGGTGATAGTGGTGAGGCTACTTGGGCTTTTGGGGAAGGCATTTGTGGTGATGGTGGTGAGGCTATTTGGGGTTGTGGGGAAGACACTTGGAGTGGTGGAGAGACTATTTGGGGTTGTGGGGGATGAGGTTTCTTGGCTACGTTGGCAGGAACAGAGAAACCAATAGAAGAGTGAAGTGGGGGTTCAGAGATTTTTGGTAGTGGGGTTGGTCTTGCTGGAAATGGGTCTACAGGTCTGGAATCCATGAAAGAAGAGAGCTTTCTGCTCCAGGGTTTTCTCTCTTCTGGGTTGCTGAGTATGACATTGATCTTGGTGAGGTCCAAAAATCCAAGCTTTTTTAGGGATTCTGAGTGAAAAGACACCAACTTCATGGTTTCATCAGGTAAAGGTGAGAACTTTGGAGGTGGGTTCACAGAGTAGGTTGAGTTTGTACCTCGGAGAAACTCTAGCAGAGGCCTTACAAATTTCTCAGCTACATCCTCTCTATAGAAACCAGATTTTTGGTTTAAACAGCCGGAAGAGAAAGCAGCTGAGACTTTGATATCTTTCTCAAGACCCCACCTTGTAAGAGAGTGATAAATGTTCTTGAGTGCTGGTAGGACCAAACCGAAGTTGTGCTCTTGCTCTTTCAGGCACAGAACAGTGTTGCCGACGACAATGGTGGTTATGGGAGTGGCAGGGTAGTGAGCCAGAACATGGGTTCTGAGAAAACTTTCAGCCATTAAAACTGAGCTTGATATCTCAGTGATCTCTCCGGTATTTACAGAAACAGCTTGAGGACGGCCGGTGTGAATTGATTCTTGAAGTACCCCAGGGACTGTGTCATAGTGGTTGATGAGCTGAACAGATTCTTCCCCTTCACCTGCAGAGAAAAAAAAACAAAACGAGGACTTTGTTGTAGGACAGCAAAAGAAGCAGAGAAAGAGAAAGAACACCCCAAATGGCAGTGACTAGTAACAACTTTGACATTAACCAAAAAAAATGGAACATTTATTTGAACTGGTTGAAGCTTTGCTTACCAGTTACACCCAAAGAAAAGAGGAAAAGAAGGTGAAAGATAAACCACACCATCTTCAGCATTGGTGTTGCAGAGACCAAGAATCTGTGAGCAGTGCCTTGAACTCTCTCTCTCTTTGTGTATATGTGTGTGTGTAGTGAAGGACTTAGTTTTCCCCTACATGACTTGTTCTAGTGGTAAAAACTAGACCGAAGACAAAGTGGTCTATTTTAGAGAAAGACCAACCTGTCCAATAAATCAAAAAGCATAAAAAGCAAAACAAAAAAATGGCAAGAAGCTGTCGAGCAGCAGAGTATCCAATACCAATACATTGCCTAGGGAATTAGGAATGAAGCAGAACCAATATTACATTTGGAGGGGCCTTTTTGTCCTTCCATTGGGACGCGTGGAAGAAGAAAAAAAGGTGGTGGGGGGAGTGTGAATAGTGACAAAGCCCAGGAATCCAAGACCAACAGAGATGTCTCTCTCCACTGTGCAGCATTAGTAGCTCTCTGTTTTGCTTGAACAAAGAAGAGGAGAAGAATTTTCATGTAAAGGATATAATTGTGACGGTATTTTAAATTCCACACGTATTCTTTGTGTCGAAAAATTTAAATGTACAACAATGCGTAATTGACTTGAAGTTTCACCTTCTGTAAATAAGTTTTTCTCCCACAAAAGACTTGTGACCAAATGGAGCGAAATGTAATTAGACTGAATGCAAACGGCCCAGCATTTTTGGTAATTGCAATTCTTTTGCAGTCACGAGTCAAGAGTGGCCGTTTTCTTTGTAAGGTCAGTGGGACCGCTAGGCATAAGAGAGGCACAGGTCCAGTGGGGCCCAACAGTAAAGGACAAAAAAGTATTGTATATCTGGGACCCGCTTGAAAAGTGAACTGACAGCTTGGGGGCCAAGCAAATATCCGACGATAGAGACAAAGGGAGGAGAGGAAACCTGTTTTATTTTCTCACTTTTTTCACTTGCTAAAGAGAGACCAAGAGTTGATTTTGAATTAAACACGATAACATAGCTGATCGCTGTCAAAATAAGAAGATTGTAATATGATGGTGTTAAAAGGGTTTGAATGTAAAATTTAATCTACGATTTAGATAGTAAATCATAGAGTAAAGTGCATTTTTGATCTACATAATTAACGATAAACTCTAACGAAAAATGACTTTGAAATAAAGTGATTTTGTATGCCTACCTACCTTTACCACCACCTTGTACATAATGTGCTTAACCAAAAGTCAATATCCATCCAAGCTTTTATGGTTTCTAGGGGAACCATTTATTTAGAGCTATTTCCCAAGTTGAAGTACAACTGCATTATACACTTTGTACACGAGAACCACAAATTTTATGGAAGACAAGTTGAAATTCCAAATCAAGATGCCCTTTATCAAAGGGCTTGTAACTTAAGTGATTAAAAACAATTATCTCTACACATATGAGGTTCTAGGTTTGATTCTCCTCCCTCATAATATCGCTTATATTGTAAACCACAGAGAGAGAGAGAGAGAGAGAGAGAGAGAGAGTTCAAGGCACTGCTCACAGATTCTTGGTCTCTGCAACACCAATGTTGAAGATGGTGTGGCTGATCCTTCACATATGAGGTTCTAGGTTTGATCAAATCGTTCAAATAACTTTTTTTTTATTTTTTTATAAAATTTAAATTTAAAAATGGTTTGGGCCTCTGTTCAAATGGGACTTGGGTCGTTTTTCCAAAAACAAAAAAGGAACTTGGGTCATGGAGCCTAAGCTTAGGCCTAAACTTTCCTAATTATGGGCCAAACGAAACTGGGTTTTGGACCTCTAGCTCTTTTTGCAGTTACATAATAAGACCACAGAATTATGTGGTTCAAATTGCACAAACTATTGTACCTGATATAATTCCGGACCCCCCAAGAAAAAAAAAGGTTAGTAGCTGAAAATCATTAGGGTTGTGACCTAATCTATCAAGCTAATAATGTACGCACCTAAAAATACCAAAAAACGAAAGATGATATTGGGACAGACTTGACGTGTGTGTTTAGACTTTCCTTAATGATTAACGTTTGGTGTTTTGTTTTGTTGTTAATGGGAAATTATTGCCTCTCTGCCAATTCACTTTTAATCTTCTGATTGCATGGGCACGAAGCAAAGCTAGATCCTTGACTTGGCCTATCAGATTAGCACCCTCTACACTCACTCTACTGCCTCATTTTTAAACCCTAGGAGGATAGGGCTTTTTGCTTCCCCTTAATCCTTAATTAGTAACGTTTTATTCGTTTAAAGAATATTCTAATTCCTTCTTGGAAATGCTCTTGCTTAGGATTATTATTATTAAATTAAGTCCATAACCACGAGCTTAATATTCCAAGACACACTGTAGGACCCAAGTGCCAAAGAAATCCACACTACTTTGCTTGCCTCCAGCACATTCTCTCCCTGTAATTATTGATTTCTTTTGTTTGGTAATGCTGTCACAACGACAATATAAATTGTATAAAATAAAAAATAAAAAATAAAATAAAAAAAGACTAGAGGAAACCTTTTCAATGATTTAAAGGGTGTCATTAGAGGTTCCATGATTAACTATTAACAATAAAATATGGCTAAAGACTAATTTTTAAGACAGATAAACTCAAACACCAAGTAGAATTGTCGGTCAATGGGAGGATCCCATGGCAACTGAAAGAGCCAATCAATTGGTAAATTTGGCCTGTTTGCGTACATAAAAATATAATTAAGAAACTGTCCCTTTGGTCTCTTTCTTTCTTATGTATTTGTTTACACTCCGTCAGAATCAAACTCTACCATTCCCAAAACGTTCATATGCTCTAAGATGTCACCATCTTGTGCGTTTTCACTTGTTGGAGGATCATGTTCTTCTTTATCAACAGAGACATTACAGGGAGTACAAAAACAAAAGTTTATGGATTCGTCTCGAAATGTTATTTACTCGTAAGCAAGAATAAGTCATTATATGTAAGAAGCCGAGTATTTTTTTCTATTTTTATTAGGAGAAAAGAAAGATTTTTAAGCATCTTGAATATATTCTCTGTCATGTTTTGTAAAGAATACGTTAATCTAAACCGTTCAATCTACGTTTGCATATGAATGGTATAGCTTGTCAAATATTAAAAATATTAATTAAAAATGTGCCCAAGAATCATGTCCAAGAAACAATAAGACAGAAGAAGGGAGTTGAGAAATTCTAAAGCACAATCAGAGATTAGGACATATGAGCATTGACAAGGAACTTACAAGAAAAGTTTATTTATTTTATTCTTAATTCAACAACCACTACTTACTTATGGGTGTCATAGAACTAGAAGGAAACCACATATGAACATTGTCCTACGAATAAATACCATTACAAAAGAAAAAGGGACAAAAGATGAAAAAGTAACAAAGCATATGCTCTTGGGCGTGTGCATGTCTCCCCCCACAATAAAAGAGAGGTGCATAAATAGATAGGGTCGGTGGATCAATCTACCAGAGAAAGAAACTAAGAAAGCACAAACCAACAAAACGTTAACTTAGCCCATTTCACTTTGTCCCAAAATGACATTTTAGCCTCATCCCCCAAACCCCAAATTAGAATAGAGCATATGTACTCAAGTTTGCTTCAAATTTTGTACACCCTCTAGAACAGAAATGATGACAATATATGTGTATACGCAAGATATGTTCTTCTCTTAAGATATGTAGTAGAGGTGAAATAATTTATTGCTTTGTATTTTTTATATTTTCTAGGCGGGCACTGATTTTCTCATTATTCTTTTGTTCATTTATACTCCCTATTTGTTGGAAATTGTATGTTCTCACTTATCTTTTGTTCACTTATAGTCCCTTGTTAGAAATTGTATGTTATAGTAAATTTTTTTTAAAAATAAATAAATAAAAGAGAGTGAGTGTAAAAAATGATAGTAGGAAAATCAACACCCTTCCTGCAATTTCTTTGAGATTTACTCGATGTCAACCTTCAAAAGGGGAAAAATGTTTGACTTCCACTAGTATTGATCCGGAATTGAAAGAAAGAAAGAGCAAGAAGGTCGTTGAACTCTAATCAGCCTTTAAAATTCCGAATTAAATCAAATTTAAATCAAATAAACCCTAATAAAGTTACTTGTCTACTATCTAAAAATAGTAACGGCCATAGATATTAAAATTCTATATTGAACTATCCCTCAATTTATCCATAAATTCAAGTGTTGAAATGATCCACACTGGCGGCAGTTGCCGAGAAAAACTCAAGTAGAGTTGTTCTTGGCTAGGTGATTATGTACCAAGCATTAAAACAAGAGCACACACAAACCTTATACTTATATCGTAAAGAACCCAAAAGTGATTTGTGTCTAATTGACCAACACCCGTCAATGAAAGTGCCACTTGGGGGTTGTTCTATGGACCACATTTTGTGGCATTGCGGTCGCATTGTAGGAGATCTCAACTCGGAGCTGTGGACTTAAAGGTTGTAAAAGTAAGGGGAGACTCAGGATCCAACGGCACCAAGTGGGAAACATTAATGGAATATGTGCCTTGCCCCCTTGGGCCTCGGCCTCAACGAAAGGTAAATAACAATTATAAAAAAATTAAAAAATTAAAAAAATTAAAAAAAAATGGACAACAAAGGACATGAACGTGGCCCTTTTTAAATCAGCACAACATGGTCATCATCGTCCATTTATTTGACTGCAACAACCAGCAAAGTAGATTCTCATTGTAAAGTCTCATTCGTTCCTTACCAGTTACCGCACCTAATACTGTAAAATAAAGGCTTACCGAATCAAGAATAATAGCCTCTTCATATTGTGGGTAGGCATAAATGAAAGCATGAAATGTTTTGATCCCAACTGAAGTGGCAATATTCTTATTTGGAAAATCACTGTGATCCTCAGATTTCATGCCACTTGGTAACTAAAATTAACTATTTACCCTTCATGCCTCTAGTGTTGGGCGTTCTCGATGAAAATACTCTTTCGCATGTTCAGAAAATTAATTTGTTTTCAGATTTAAAGAACAAGATAAAGTGTCGATTTAATAGTCGGGAAGCGAGTTAAAATCTTGTATCTAATTCTCACAACTCTCATTTGCTTGGCTCCTCGCAATTAATGTGGGTTTGACACTTATTAGTTGTGTCATCTTCTTTTATTTGGAATTTAACAAATATCAAAGTCCCATTTATTGTGAAGATGGTTGCGGTGTGGTGTTGTTGACCCAACTTTCTTCTTTGGTTTTCATTGTGTTTTTGAAGTAAGTACTGCAATTTACCGTAGATGCCATGATTTTGTTGCAGCTTTTGGTCCACGCATACGGAGTTCGCTCCAATTCAGTGTTTGGAGTTAGAAAAATGATTGTTGCTGGTTTGTGTGGGATCGGGTTTTGCCTGTGCAACATAAGAGGTTTAGTCATGTTGGTGCTATGAGTCTCTTTGGTTTGCTAGAGAGGAAGTGTTGCAGTGTCCTTATTTCTATGTTTATTTTAATATAATAATTCTCAGAAACTCAATAGGGAGTTTGCTAATGTATGTATTTAGTATTCTAATTTTCAATGCGGATTTGCCATTACTGCCGTTGAATGGTGAATTTGTATTATAGGTCTGAGTACAGATGCTTCTTGTCTGCTGAATTGGAGTTTTTAGGTTTTTCTGATATGCGTAATTCTCTGTAGATCAAACCAATTTATTTTTGTGTTTGGTTACTATAGATGTTGTACTCATATTTGGCATTGCGACTACTCTATGCTTTTTTCTGTGTTATCAATAACATTACTATCGCTTTTAATAATAAAAAAAAGGAGCCAAATAATACTGTTTTAATTATAGTTCAATTTGATTTGCAACATCACATGACCGTAACGTAGTTCTAAACAATTATTTTATAATAGGTGGGTTTCCTATTATTTTATAATATAACCCCAGTAATAAAAGAATTATGTATATTTTACCCGTTAAGTTTCTTTAAATATAAATCAATAAGAAAAAGAAAAAGAAAAAAAAGGGAATGCGGCTACTGCTGAGGTCAGCGGCTACTTGGGCATCCGCATCCCAGATCTTGCAGCCAAAAGAAGCTTCCCCACTCACTCACTCAACTCACCCCCTTTCTCTCTCCTCCTCCTCCTCCTCCTCCTCCGTTTTCTCTCTTTCTCTCTCCTATTTCAATTTCTGTCTTTCCAATCCAACCAAAACAACACAAAAACAAATTCTCAAACCCAACAACAAAACCCAGCAGCGAAAGAAGAAGAAGATGATGAATTGGGTTTTTCTGAAACAAAAGCAAAACCAGAAAACAACACTCACCCATTAAAATTCAAAATGAAATTGAGAGCTCCTGATCATCATCTTCGTCAGCATCACTCAGCCCTCTTCTTCTCCATTTTTCTATCACTCTCCCTCTCCCTCACTCCACTCCATGCTCTTCAAACAGTCACGGCAATTCACAGACGAATTTTGCACCAGCCTCTGTTTCCAGACAGTTCATCTCCTCCACCGGAGATCGAGTCCCCGCCGATTCCACCGCCCCCGCCGGCGGATGTCTCAAGTGATCCAACCGACCAGCCTTTCTTCCATGAATTGCCATCTGGGTCGACCCCAGATCAGCCCCAATCCCCTCCGCCACCGTCAAACTCCACCGTTCCGATCCCACAAGCATCGCAGCCGACCAAGGGAACCAAAAGAGTCGCCATTGCCGCCTCCGTCGGAATTGTCACTCTCGGCATGCTCTCTGCCCTCGCCTTCTTCCTCTACCGCCACCGAGTCAAGCACCCGTCCGAGTCTGAGAAACTCGTCAATGGCGGAGGACCCGGTTCCCCGAGATTCGCAGACGACTCTAGAATCCCACCCTCCAGCTTCCTCTACATTGGCACAGTCGAGCCCGGCCGTACGTCGACGACCAGCAGCGAAGCCGTGAGTGGACCCACGACGACCGAATTGAACCGGTCGCCGTACCACAGGCTCAACTCGGTCAAAATATCGGATCGGTATCGGCCAAGTCCCGAGTTGCAGCCGCTGCCTCCTCTGTCCAAGCCTCCCCAGAACCTCAACTCACCTTCTCCCGTGTCGTCTTCCGATGAAGAGAGCCATGAAACCGCGTTTCATTCGCCGAACTGCTCTTCTATCAGCTATGACGACAGCTACTACACGCCGAGGCAAGGCAGTGTCAATGGAGGCGCCAATTGTGCTCCGATTCATGTGGCAAATTCGATTCCCCATTCCAAAAGAACTTCTCCAAAATCGCGCCTCTCGGTTTCTTCTACCACAAGGAACCAGGTTGCTCCGCCGCCTCCGCCACCACCTCCACCGCCACCAATGCCACTTCAGACGCAAGCCCGCGATGCGCAACAAAGAACTCCATCTTATTCTCATAAGAGGCCGAAATTCTCTTCCCCTCCACCACCGCCACCAAATTTGGCGCGGGTATCTAGAGCTCCCGTTCCACCTCCGCCGCCACCTCCGCCGTCTCGACCGCCGATATTGAGACAGCAGGAAGTTGGGGATTCGGAAACAGTTACAAAAGTTTCTGCAATGTCAGCCCAAGTGTCAGCAAAGACACAATCATCCTATGCATCAATCCCAATAGGGTCTTTTGAAAATGGGACTAGAAAAACTGCTGAGCCAGTTGCTGATGAGAGTTTTGAAGCTGATGATGCTGGAGGGGCAAAGCCCAAGTTGAAGCCTCTGCACTGGGATAAGGTTCGGGCAACCTCGGACCGAGCCACAGTATGGGACCAGCTGAAATCAAGCTCATTCCAGTGAGTAGTTTCGGTTCAGTTGGCATTGCTGCATATTGTTTAGTTTTTTATGTTTTTTAGGCTCTGGTGTGCAAATTCTGATTTTGGTATGTATTGGTTTCTTTGTAGATTAAATGAAGACATGATGGAGACTCTTTTTGGCTGCAATTCGGCGAATTCGGTCCCGAAAGCGAAAGAGCCTATTAGAAGATCAGTTCTACCTCCTGTTGAACAAGAAAACAGGGTTTTGGATCCAAAGAAGTCGCAGAACATAGCTATACTATTGAGAGCACTGAATGTAGCAAGAGATGAGGTCATTGATTCTCTTTTAGATGGTAAGTGATTTCTTCTTCTTTCTCTTTTAGGATGAGTAATTAGCTCCTTCATTCTCCTTGGTGATAAAGAAATTTTTTTCAACAAATTCAGTTAATATTTTACTCAATTTACTGAAAACATAGCAATGTCTACCAAGAACAGCTAACCATGTGTCTGTAGATTCACTTTCCATTGTTCCTGACTCATAAAACTCATATATATTGTAAGCTCTATTTTGCGTGGATATCGTGAATTCTTAAAGCATTTCAAAATAATGAATTAAATAAGTTTCTAATAACACAAATTATTTTGAGGTACGCATTATATTTTAAGCCAATTTTTGGGAAAGAGAATAAGGAGATAGAGGAGGATTTCAAAAACAGAAGTCGGAGTTAAAAGTTTAAGTGAGAAGAAGAAGGCATTATTGTTACTTGAATAAGAGTAAAAGTAGTTTAACAAGTTACCCTATAAGTTCGGATAAGAGTAATCCTTGAAAGCAGCAAAAGGGTAGTCATACCCTAAAGCCATAAGACCAAGTTACTAGCATCAGGCATCATTAGTGGGCTCACTGTTGATTGGTTCCAAATCCCACCATTAACCATTCATCATCACAGGGCTCCAGCTTCTAATTCTTTTTTTATCTTCAAAGTTGACATTTTAATAAATCAGTAATTTTTCCAACAAAGTTTTTTCAATTCCCTACAACCTTCCTTGTGAGATATAATCTATTGTCTTAAGAGTTTTGCATTGGAAGCAATAGGTTCATGCATCCATGTTTAATCTTTGTCAACAGGAATACATTGCCCTGTTGGATGAAAGCGTTCAATACTTTGAAGTTTTATCCTATATTTTAACTGCAAAAGCAATAATTACTGCGACTGATGTTTAAACTAGCCTGTAGTCCTACCAATGGCATTCTTAAAGGTATCTGGGTGCGAGCGAGTCTTGATTTACTTATAATTATAGCCTCATAGAATTTAGATTGACGTGTGAAATTCAATTTGTACAAGCAGCTTAACCCATTATGTATCACATTCAGATAAACAGGGTCAATCTTTGAAACATTCCTATTCATTAGAACTCAAAATACAATTATACAAGCACGCATAAAAGCTACATCCAGATGTCACCTTTTGCATGAGTCAAAAAAGAGCCCTGTAGGTGGATAGTAATCCAACAAAGATTTTTTTTTCTCATTTATCATTGCATATTCACCCCTTGAAAGTTCCATTACGTGATGTCAACATTTAGCAGTCACTAGAGGATGCAAGAGTTTGTTAACTTTCTCTCTCCCCTCCCATGTTTCGATGGTATTATTTACATCTGCTGCATCATGTGCATTATGTGCTTGTACATAACAGGTAACCCAGAAGGCTTGGGAGCCGAGCTGTTGGAAACTCTGGTAAAGATGGCTCCAACAAAGGAAGAAGAAATTAAACTTCGAGACTACCAGGGTGACGTCTCAAAATTAGGGACTGCTGAACGCTTTTTGAAGGCAGTGCTTGATATCCCATTTGCCTTTAAGAGAGTTGAAGCAATGCTATACAGAGCTAACTTTAATACAGAAGTGAAGTACTTGAGGAAGTCTTTTCAAACGCTGGAGGTATTTTTTCTGAAATTGACAATTATTGCTCTCTTGATTACTTAATTCCATGAATATTGAGGTAAAAACTCACACCCAAGATCTTGCCATTCTTCAGGAAGCAAGTGAAGAACTAAAGAACAGTCGATTATTCCTTAAACTCCTCGAAGCTGTTCTCAGGACAGGGAACCGAATGAATGTTGGGACCAACCGTGGTGATGCTAAATCTTTTAAACTTGATACACTATTAAAACTAGTAGACATAAAGGGAACAGATGGAAAGACCACATTGCTCCATTTTGTGGTCCAAGAGATTATAAGATCTGAAGGTTCAGTGGTTGACTCCACAAATGAGGATGCCAAAAAAATGCCCATCAATGCGAAGGAAGATGATTTCAAAAAGCAAGGATTGCAAATTGTGGCAGGGCTGGGCAGAGACCTCAGCAACGTAAAAAATGCAGCAGGAATGGACTCGGATGTCCTAAGTGGCTATGTGTCGAAGCTTGAAATGGGGCTTGAGAAGGTCAAACTGGTTTTACAATATGAGAAACCAGATATGCAAGGGAAATTCTTCAACTCGATGAAGATATTTCTAAAAGAGGCGGAGGAGGAAATTCTTAGGATCAAGGCTGATGAAAGAAAGGCATTATATATGGTGAAAGAGGTCACTGAGTATTTTCATGGGGATACAGCAAAGGAGGAAGCCCATCCTTTCAGAATCTTCATGATCGTGAGAGATTTTCTAAACGTATTGGACCAAGTGTGCAAGGAAGTGGGGAGGATGCAGGATAGAACATTGGTGGGCTCTGCTAGATCATTTCGGATAGCTGCGACTGCTTCTCTACCAGTTCTCAACAGGTATAATGTGAGACAAGATAACAGTTCAGATGATGAAAGCTTGTCACCATGAAGTTTGTGTATATGAAGCACATGAACCTTTTAGGAGGATACGTGAATTATTAGGTGGATACTACCACGGCTGTTGATGATACGTCCAATTGAAGAAGCAGCAGGACAGCACCCGTATATTTGTTTGTTTTGTTACAAGCATGTCAAAGGAGTAGAAGAATGCAGAAGGGAAGGCACTTTTGAAAGTCTTCCAATATAAAGAAGATCCCATTCCACATAGAGGAGTTCCAGCCAGTTACCCAGGGGAAGCAACAGATTTTGTATGAGAATCGGGTATGCATAGTCCAACAAGTTAAATATTGAATATTATTTAGAAGAGCATATGCTATTTGAAGGATCATCCAACTAAAAGAAAAGGCATCAAATGAGAACATGTACAACAGATGAAAAAAGAAAAAGAAAAGTTACAAATATTTAGATTTTTTTGTTTTGGGTTTTTTCTGCGCCAACACATATGCGATAGATAGGCTTAGGTTTCTTCATCTAGATCCAGAGTCCCACACATTTTGAAGGAAGCAGAATGTTTTGATGTCGGTGGTCATGATGTTGGTTGGGGTCTGCATTTATTTGATAAATTATAAAATCAATAATAAGTAGCTATTCTTCAGCATTGTTGTCTTCTTTAATTCTTTTCCCTACCCCACTTGGATAATATGTCACAATCTATTGGAAGAAATGAGCAAGGAGAAGAGACATATTGTCAAAGTTCAGATATTCAAACTTTAAGGACAACCCAAGTTCGATCGCTACTTAAACACAAGCCCACTTTAAGAAAAGCAAACAAAGACTAACCATTACTGTATACACCTTTAGGCTTTATGAAAGCCAAATAAATCTAGAAATCAATGGCTCAAAATTTTCAATCTTAGATGGCTTTATGTTCAATTTTATCACGTATGGGGAACGTAATTGGTTGGGGGTAGCAAAACAATGTTATCCCCGTGATATGCAAGCTTTTCTCCTGATGAGGAGCTCGTGATTGTAAATATGCTGCTCTTATATTTATCCATTTGATCGCCAAGGAGAATGGTAAGCTACAAAAGTGCCCTATAATAAATGGAAAATGCTTAGAGAGAAAACATTGATTTTCAACACTGAAAAGACTAATAAATATGGTTGTTCAAGATTTAAGTTCTTAGATATAACTTATACTTTCCCAAATATACTTAAAACTAAACATGATATTTTTTTTTCTAGAACCAAAATATATATTGAAGTCTTTATATTTGTGAGTTAACCAGGATTCCGGAATTTCTTGAACAGACAGGAAGTGATTCTCTGGATTTTATAAATTACAGATTGAGATACAAAGGAACACTGGTTTAATCACAGCAAATGTACAACTAAATCAGGTTCCGCTGGAACAAAGACTTCATTGCCACAAAGAGCTGGCCTTTGCTGATGAAATGAACGCTGCTCCCGCGATTCTCTTTGTTCTCAAAATCTTCTTCACTAACATTTTCCACCTAATCTCGTCTTTCTTACTCTGTTTCTTAATTCTCTCCTTAAAATTCCTGAAATGAAAAAATTTGCCACAGTGAGTGAAAAAGTTCAGAACCTAGTGTAAGAGTAAGACATAGCATGCAGTCTAAAACAAAACAAAACCATTCAGAACGTCAACTATCAAACCTATATAGACAACTGGCCTATGATATCTCCTACTTAAATCAATCTAGCAGTGTATTCCATGCCTCTGTTAGCTAAATTTGTCGAGAGTACAAAATCTCACGTTAGGAACTTTAAGCCTTGCGACACAATACATAAGGTCTTAGACCTCTCCACCCATTGTCAACTGGTTTGAGGAGTTGAATGCTCTTAATTCTACATGGTACTAAAACAGACAATCCACGTAGACCCAGTACTGAGCCACATGTGATCCACGTCACTAAATATAAGTTGTCTATGCGTTTGGCTCAAGTCCTACTGCACATTAGGGGGCTTGTTGCCTTTCCACCTATTGCCAATTGGTTTTGGGCTGGACGCTCTTACCTCAAGCCTGCAATGGTTATTTAAACTAAATGGGAAAAGGATGGGGGCTTGTAGCTCTAGGGATTAGAGCACTTACTCTCACACCCATGGCAAGAGTTCGACCCTTGTGTCCCCCTCATAATCAAAAGAAATTAGAAGGAAAAAAAAACAAAGAAAGATTAGTAGGCACACCTGCACAAAGGAACCCTGCAGGTATGGGAATTAGCACAAAGGCGGGAGTGTAACTCCAGCAGCTGCCACATCCTCTTGCAATGAATGCAACCACCAGGGACTCTCAACTTACAACCAGCAAAATGACGAACCAGCAATTCCAGTCCTTTACAGGCTACATACTTACAAGGAGCCTGGTTCTCTTTAAAGTCCTTATCAGATGGTCCAATTGTTTGACAACCATCTTTGTATATATGAACAAGAGCCTCCATTGCCTCATATAATAGCAAATATATTTTCCTCTCATTTAATTTTTTTATCCTCTCCTTTTGCCTCTGAAAAAGAATTCAAACATGAATGAACTTTAGCATGACTTTCCATGGCGCTACATAAAGATACAGAAAACAAAAGAAGAAGCCAAACAGATCCCTTACATTATCTTCTTCAATCATGGACTCCACGAGCTCCTTTTCTAATGCAGGGTGACTCTTCTTCATCACTTTCCATCCTGTAGTTGTACAAACAGTTTTAAAGTTCTTCAGGATCATACGGTGACAAATGAGGCTAAGTCGAGGGGCATCACACAGTAATGCCAGTTGAAATATGTCAACTACATTCTCTGTGGTAAGCAAGCCATGCTCCAGCTTCTTCTCACACTCTTGCTTCAACTGAGGAACCAAGTAGACATGAGAAAGCACTAACAAGTGCACGACAAACTCCTCCATTTCCCTTTTTTCATAACTAAACAGGAAACACCAGTAACAATCAGTACACAAAGTATCGTTCCAACTTAGAATTGCAACAAATTTCAAAACTTGTGTCAATAACATCCTTTAATAGATTAAGTGTGACTACTAAGTTTGAAAATGGAGAAATGTTCTAATATTCCAGTACTATTGTTTAAGTTTTATTGGTCTTGGTGTTGTTCAGGTTAATAAAGCATTCAACCAGAAAAAAAAACCTATCAAACTTGGTTTTTCAACATGCATCACAGGTACTAGCTAGAAACTGTTAAAAGATGAAGTTTCACATCCTCTCCTACGTTCAGGTATGAAGTCTCACTTACTGGCCAATTCCTAGGCATCACATTAACTCCAAGAAATTCAGTGAAAGAGAAGCACCCATGGGGGAAAAATCATTACCAGGAAGAATACAAGAATCGAATAAAAACTCGGACTGCGTCATGTGGAACTCCAAGAATTGAGATTGATCGTTGACGACGAAACCGGCTTGATTGCTTCAACAAGCCTTTCATTGCAGGGGAAGCCATGCCCTGTCAGAATAGCATCCAAATACAATGTTAGCATGCCTAATATCAACTCCATTGTCATGTCTTACTGACAAGCAACAATGTCAATCTGGAAACCAATGTCTACTTACAATTAGTATGACTCTGTTTACAAGTTTCATATGATACGACTACATCATTTTGTGGTAAAACAATTTATAAATAAGTGACTTACAAAATCATCTATTAAACCCTGAATAGTTTGGCCTCACATCTATTATCAAATTAAGGCTCTAGGAGGACTGCAACAGAATTTAGAGAAGATCACTTCACATATCTTAATCGATGTTGAATAACTAAACTTACAAGAATGTTAGCATGGGCATAGATAATGCCACCATCATCAGTATTAACAGAAACATCTGCTCTATAACCTTCATCAAAGAGGCGCTCCCATGAATCTTTTGTTGCTGCAGAAACACAGCTGTACCCCCTTTGTGGTGATCCATCAATTGATAACCCCTTATGAAAATTGTTTGTCACAGGACCAGGCCATGGAGGAATCGTTTGGGAAACTTCCTTGGAAACAGGGGCAGATCCCTCATGGATGGTGTCCACCTTACACATTAGTGTCTAAGCTCCGGTTCTGCAGAAGTATGATAACCAGTTTAAGAGATATATCTCAGATCAAAATGATTCAATATGCATATTAATTGCATATTTATAAAATATTTTACAGAGGTGGTATCTTTTTTTACCCTTTTGGTGAGAGTATTTATCAATTTTGTATTAGATAATTACCATCAGAAATGGCCTGTTTCTGAGATTAGGTCAGTTAAGGCATTGTTTTCAAGGAGAAGAGCAAGGTTTTGAGGTTCTAACGTAATACATAACCCACGAAACTAAGCATATAAGAACCAGATCATCTTTTGCTGAAAAGTAAAAAAGTAAACACAATGCAAATAGATCCAACAGCACAATAAGATCTCTCCCATATACAATGGAGAGTTCAGGACCTTTTGGATGTCTCCTAGAAAAGACATGCCGGCCGCAAAGAACCAATCAAACAATCAACCACAATATTCAAGTGCCCAAGAAGAGACAATTCAACTTGCCAATTCTTGGATCTGATAGAGCCAAAAAAAGTTTAATTATGCAAGTGGACAAAAATAATGAAGCCACCACCATTGATATACAATCTAAAGACAACCCTCTATCTCACTTTCATTAATACAATAGTGAATATGAAATTTTCCTCTTTTTGGATTCAAAAATTTCAAAACAACCAACCTATTATCATCAAGTTCTTTTCTTTTGAGCTCAAGAATATCACCACCCAATAACCCATAAACCCATTTCTTTCCAGTCATTCAATTCAATTCTCAGAAGAACAAAAGAAAAAACAAAAACAAAAATACCACATACCCTTTTGAAAAGATCGATTTTTGGGAGCAAAGCAGTGGAAGAATCACTTTCCCAACGACGATATCGTTTCCTCTGAGAAGCGTCACCCAAAGAACCAAGCCCTTTTGTTTGGTTTGTTCCTCCTCTTTGGGTGTTCTTCCTCTCACTCTCTGTTTCTCTCCCTCTGTGTTGAGAGGGAGGCTGGGACTTGGGCACGACATGTGAGATTTCTGCAACATCCAAGCTCCTATATATAAAAATGGAGGGCCTCCTCTCTCTCTCTCTCTCTCTTCCGCTCTTTGTCTAACTGTCAGCTCAGTCCTCCTCATTGCACCCCAAAAATATCGGGCGGTGAGAGACTCCCCGAAACGCGGCCGTTTTGGGGCATTTGCTGAATCACTCACACCTCAGGTCAGGAGGACCGTGCATTTTTCCAGTCTGCTTTTGGCGCCTCCCGCGTTTTGCCCTTCAACGTTCCCAACTGCTTTAACTGTCATTATCAAAACAGGGGAAAGACAAAGATGTTTTGGATCAATACAGCTCATCGTGATTTTTTGGGTACTAATAAATCAAACAATTTTTTTTGGTTTTGTCGGGGGAAAAAAGGTTGGCATGAAATAAATATATACTAGTTGGTTGGTGGTGAGGATCTGTCTTCTGTCATAACATATGTGCATGGATGGGATGGATGGCAATTTGGCAGTCGAATAAAAGTGGACGAGGGAGACGTGCCTCATTATCAACCACATGACAAGGACATGTCTCATTTTCCACCGTTAGTTTTATGTGTACAATTACAAATTCGAAACCTCGTAATAGGTAGGTATGAAAGAAAATGAAGTAACTACAATCATGATAATTTGGTCTAGTTGCATAAAATTTCTACAACAATCTCTGCTTTGTTGGTTGTTTACCGAAAAGAATAATACTAAGGAGACCACGTATAAAGATAATCTTATACACCCTCTAAAAAAGGATCGGCTCCATGAGGCAACCGGCCCTGGAAGTCAAACTATTTTTGGAACCCCAACCCATATATATTATCCTAGGCCCAATAACTATTAAACCCAAAATGAAAGCTCTCATTCACATAACCATATGAGCCCAATTCAATAGGCCTAACACTTTACAAGAATTCTATAGTGAGGGTCTTATATATGGTTCTTAGGTGAGGCTCTATCTCTTAATAATTGAATCAAATTGGTTAGTCGTTGGACAAATTGGTTAGTCATTAAATCAAATTAGTTAGCATGATCCAACGGTTAGGAAATAAGATCTCACCTAAGGCCCACACTATAGAATGACTCTAACACTTTATTGAAGCTATAGCGCAAGAAATCAAATACCAAATAACATAAAAGAAAATACAACAGTGAAACTATCCTAACACAAGTTCAGCCTAAGAGAAGGAAAAAAGACAAAAAGAAAAAACAGACCAACTAACGTGATTCTGATTCTCTCTATTAGATGATTGGGGCTCGTTTGGGAGTGATTTTGGGAATGGTCATAAACACTTATGGGGAAAAACACTTCCACCTGCTTCTCTATAGAACTGATTATTTGCCTATCTAGAATCACTTTCAAACGAATCCTTAATTTGCTTTCCAATTTTCTTTTTATTGGTACATATGTTTTAGTTTACAGTTTTAAATTTAGCAAGCTCTTGTCGAAATAACGAGCTTATGAGAGGCCTACGCGGGAAACCGTTGGGCGATTACACCCAAACCAATATGGGCTGAGAACCCATTTTGAGGCCCAATAGTTTGGGACGGCGGTCAGCTGTAGTTCGGCTTTTCCATTGTTTGTTCAAGCCTTTCCCATTCGTCTATGCTTCCTGAAAATATAATTAGCTTCCCTGTGACTTCCATGTATATATTATTTTAAATTGTTTTTTGTTTTAATCTATTGTTTAACTATTTGTAGAGTTGAAATATTTTTTATTTTTTCTGAAAATGAAAGAAAATTATAAAGAGGATCCAAGTTGGCCCAAAAAAAAAGAGGAAGATTCGTAAACCAAATGACTGTATTCCGATACGAATGGCCGAAGTTGGCCAGAACGTCAGCTACCATATTTGCTTAACGGAAAGTAATTTGGAAGTTTTGTGCCTGTAATTGTGAGCAGAGATTTCGCATACCAACAAGAAGTGAGAATAAACGAGCGCCAAGGAGGAGAAGAGTCTTTGTTCAGAAGAAACTTGAAATGTATTTATTAGTAAGGGCCAGAGCCAGATATTGCAGTTTCATTGAGAAAATGATTTTGGGCCTGCAGCAGGCAAGGCTTACTGCAAAAAGCACTTTCGTGAAAGTTGCATACCTCAGGAAGCATATAAGATGGAGAGAGGGACAGCATAACATGCGGCATGCAAGCTATTTCCCTCTTTTAAGGTGTAAAGATGCAACAACAATCTCATACAAGGAGTAAAAATCATTACCAAATGCAATCTCAAGCATGAGAGTTGCATACTCAAAGGGGCATGGCTTCAAACTCCGCCTTCATGAGTATCACGTACTCATGTAACAGGCATCGAAATCTTATGCTAGAATGTACTTACCACATATGGATGAAATCTCACTCTCATTTCTAAATATGTAATCCGCAAACAAAACCGACCTTTAGAGCTTTTTGTATAAAGTTTTTTGGTCTTAAATGTCACATTACTAACTAAAGTGTCAGATGGTATTTGATGGATGCTACATGCAAGGGCCAACTCTAAAGATGTGCAAGTGGTGCACTGCACAAGATGACCAACCAAACAACATTATCATACTTTTCCATTAAACTATGCATATGTCTTCATGAAAAATAGTTGTGTTCATTAGTCTCATTGTTTTTTTACATCAATTTATTGTATTTTTTATATATAGTGTTTTCATGTCAAATGATGGAAAGAGTATCTCAATTTAAGTTTCACACAAGGCACTCAAAATCTCAGAGCCGACCTTAGTTACATGGTTGTCCCTCTGCCCACAAAAATGTTTTCCACTCATTGCATTGCAGGGCAATTTCGTCCTTTTGATCAGGGAGTATTAAATTACTAGACGTAACAAGGAATAATAATAATAAAGAAACAGAAGAACTCGCAATTTGATGGTGAAAAACCCTGGTCTTGGAACCATGATTTTCCCCACCTAGTCCGCATCTGTAAGCAATGCAAAACAACAACAAAGAGCAACATATCATAAACGGTCAAAGCTAGTTGCTGACCATCTTGGGCTTGCGGATTTTTGCAGAGTCAAAGGTTCCCTTCCTGCCCTGCCCTGCCCTATAACCAAGACCCAAGTTTGCTGCCAGCCACCTTGCAAAATGCAAGTAGTAATATTATATTTTATATATATAAACATTTTTATTTATTTATTATTGATTTGATTATTATCGATCATATTGTATTATGAGTGGGTGGCAACTTTGGATAGATGAGGTCCTCAGAGGAGCGTCTTCTTCTTCTTCATGCTGCTGCCACTGACTGGAGTGGTCCAGCTTTTCCACACGTGAAGACGCTCCTCCCTCTGCAATTATAATTTTTATTCACGTGTGCCCTTCTTCAATCTTTATTTATTTTCTTAAGCCCCCTCTACTCTTTTTTCTAATTGTGGCCCAAACCAAAATTTGAGTTTCTATATATGTATTTCAATTCAAAGTGATAAAGTTTTGTATGGTGATGATGTGAAAATTAAAAGGGTCAAAAACTTGGTCTTAGAGCTGGCTTTTATTAATTGGATAATGTAACCTTTTTGAACATGCTCCTATACTTATCTTCATATAATCAACTCTTAAGCTCAGTCTTGTATCACCAATTCAATAGTTATATATCCTTTTATCTTTGAATTCTACTATTAATCTTAACTTACATACTCAAACACGAATGCTTTCGCATAACATATATAACAACATGTTAAATTGTCTGACGAACAAAAAAACTTTTGAAATGTTATTTTGTCATACAACTTAACAAATTATGTTAATGAAGTATATTTGATTTGGTGCAATCATATTTGTATGCATAAGTGTTCTGATATTTTCACCCATTGTCTTATTTCCTCATATACTTTATCTTCCCACCCATCATGTAAATTTGAAAAGAAAAAATAAATACAGCAATGCTCTCTTTCTTCGCACCTTGAAAATTATAACTTCTGGTTTTCCTATTATATAATGAAAGAAGAGATTTTGACTCCATCCCTGCCCAAGCTATAGGTTGTTGATAGCTTTCTCTCTATGGCTTCCCTCTTTTTTACCAGATTGCCCAATTTCTCAAGCACCTCTTCATTGGCCATTGCTTCAATTGCAGTTTTTTTTTCTCAAGTTCTGTGATTGTTTTATCAAATGCCTTCATTTTTAGTATGAAAGAACACGCTCCAGGATTGTGTTTTTTTTCAAATTTATATGAAAAATGAAGGGAAAAATAAGATGGGTAAGGAAATAACAGCACTCATATATAATCCCAATTTATATTCTCGCAACTTGACATGTAAGGTATCTAGGAGGAAAATATTACCATTCAGTTTTTATATCGAGGGAGATAGGATTTGAGCTATTTATTTGGTGAGACTGGATTAATTTTCTTATCTAATTATCAAGTTGCATTTAACCAATTTTACTGACAGACCAGATTTTGGATCTTGCGTCATTTATCATTTTTGCTTTAGAGCTAAGCTTACCCTGCAGTTTTCCTTCTAAAAGAAATGCTTGCCCATCATAACCTTACACACTTGTAAAATAACTCACTTCAGCTTTTGCCTTTTGGCCATACTTAGTGTTGCCTGGCTAACTAATAATTAATTTCACTTATAGACATTTTGTTACCAAAAACAATTTAATACTTATAAAAAGATAGGTGCAACAAAACATATGAATTTTCACAAATTAATGGCATGTTTACTTATTAAGAATGGTTATTAGAATGATTCTAATTTCTGATTCTTCTGTGTTTACTAAGACATGGGTATTGGAATTATCTCAATTCCTGACTTCCTCGCGTTTACAACACATAAAGAATAAAAAATTATGTGAGTTTCACCTTAAAATTCATAATCAGATACTCTCAAAATCGGGAATGGAATCAACTAAGAGCCTAGTCAATTCCAATATTTTGATTCCCTCATCTAAAAATTCTCTGATTCATGATTTTCCTCATTCCTAATAAGAAAATATGTCCTAAAAAGTTATACCATGTGTTTTTCTTTTTCCGGTGATAGAAATTAGATTTGAAAGCCATGTAATGTTGATATAGACAAATATGCCTTTTAAGTTTTAATATATTAGAAGTTAAATAATGCTAAGACCCTAAACAAAATCCAATTGTTTAGTCAGAAACCTTTTGCAAATAAAGTTGCAAATGGTTCATCAAATCCTAAGTGTAGAGAGAGAATCAGTGATTAATTAAAAGCATCCCTAACAAAAGGGACAAAAAGTAGGAAAACCCCAAAGATGAAAAGTTAATAAAATTGTTGTTATCATGTTTGGACCATCATTCTTTCAAACTCGTGTGCTTATACGAATACAAATACATATGTTCATAGAATTTACCTTCTCCATGAATTTTAAGAATAAATACAAAAATATTTACTAAATTATTTAGAGAAAGTAAAAAAAAATAGTATGGGGGTTTTTTTTTCTTTTTTCTCTTTGAATATTGAACTTATGATCAACTTAAAAATGTTTTCCTAATTAATTTTTTATAATGAGGAAAGCTATCACAACATACTTCCTTATGGAATACATAAGCAATCATTACAAATGGAGCCTTGTGGAAATGAAGGAAAACAAGCCAATCAATAAAACAATAGATGCCATGGTGTGGACAAAGCAAATGAGCAAAATTTACTTACCAATTCATAATAATGTCTTCACAAATATGCCTTTTTTTTTCCTTTCCTTTGGAATATGTATTGGAAATATGTGGTGTACCATGGCAATAATTTGGCATGACATTACACAACAAAGGCAGACAATAATTCCAGCTGGTACAAACAAGTAAGGTACAAGGTGTGTGTGTGTTTTATTTCTTCCTTTTTTCTTTCTATTTTCGATTCACAAGTTAAGCGAAAAAAGAGCATTCTTTTTGGTACAATAAGTTTATTGAACGAAAAAGAAAAAAGAAAAAAGAAAAAAAAGAAGAGCAATCTACCATTAGGATCCATAATGCTTAACTTCAGTTATTATTATTATTATTTACTTTTTTTTTGGTTCTACATGTTCAACTTCATACCTAAACACCAACGACGTACATTCTGTCATTCTCCAACCCTTTGGACCCTCCCCTGGAGGGAAAGAAGGCGGCACTCAGAGAGAGAAGAACTGTCGATGATGATGAACATTAGGACCAAGGGGCCAAATGAGACCCTTTTAATCATATAGGACAAAGCTTCCCATCCTACAGCTGTCCAAAATTTAAGGGTACGTACCCCAAAAGTCGTATACCAAAGGTAAGAAATAGTCTCTATTTATATTTTGGGTTTCTTCATAAAATGATTCGTTTGCATAACCCATTAGAAAAACTAATTCTTTAAAAGTAAAGGGTTAACTAAGTTTGAATTGACATGACCAGGATAAGTGCATGCAAGTCAAGACATGGATTTTTTTTCTTCCCTATATTATCATCTTAATTTCTATTTCAACCCACCTCTTTGAGAATTTTTTATTATAATAAAAATGGAGAGTTCTCTACACATGACAAGTATTGTTTATATTAAAATATATAACGTGTTATAAAACTTGAATTATAAATAAAACATGTAACATATGTTATTTTTTTGATTCAAACCCTAGACATATCGCAATCCTCACTCATTACTCAACTCTTCCTCACCATTTTGGGCCAACTCTAAATTCTAATGGCAGATTGAAAATGCAATAGTCAAAACTGCATTAATCTACAAGGAAGAAGATTAAACTTGAGTGCAAGGAGACGAGCACAATGACCAATTGACTTATACCATGTGACTTAGAGCTCCCCACCCAAATCCATGGATTTGATCCTTTTTATTTCTTAATATTTTATGAAATATGGAGTTGATCCTTTGACATAACCTAAAGCAATTTTAATTTTTGTCTTTAAAGTGCCATTATTGAATAAGAAATTTTGACTTCCATAAAACTAAATTGGAGTTTAAATTTAAAACCAGAATCTCCTAAAATTTGGAGAGAATGAGAAATCATAGGACTACTACCAGTATATAGCTACAGTATACTGTGTAGTGGTGGTAGACTATACCCACTAAACTCCCTAACCGCTAATTTTACTCCCCTCTATATCTCATCCGGTCATTTTGGCGGCACCAAAACCGCCACTTTTCCTTCTCACTCCCCACATTCCACTTTCTTTAGTCGTCCTCTCTCTCTCTCTCTCTCTCTCTAAAGATTTTGCACAATTTCATCACCGTGGATTTAGCAGTTGCTTAATATATATACTGTGAATATGCACGCCCTGTTGACAGTTTTAATTTGTTGATTGTTATTTCTTCCATCATAGATAGATGTACAAAGAGACTGAGGAGAATGAGGGACTCTGCAGACACTTCTTCGTTTTCTCTCTCCAGCCTCCTCTGCCATGAAGATCAAACTTGCTTGAATCAATTGGAAGTTGAATCAAACACTTGCATAGATTCAGACCCATGTTTTGTTTCTGTGGATGAAGATGAGTATGTTGAGAACTTGGTCCGCAGAGAAGCTCGTTGCTTTGGATCCAAAGGCTTTGTACCCTTTACCGATTGCTCTGCCTCTGACATATGCTGGTTGAAAACTGCTCGCTTGGATTCGATTGAATGGATTTTCAATGCATGTTACTCTCCTAAAGCTCTTAACTTTTCCAGATTCTTGTTTCTCTCTCTTTTTTATTCTCGATTCGGTCCCTGAATGTTTGTGCATTCTCTATTTTGATTTTGCAGACAGGAGGAAATTTTGGGTTCCAATTTCAAACAGTTTACTTATCTGTCACTTACTTTGATGGGTTTCTTTCAAAGCGATCCATTGATGTAAGTAACCCAACATTCATCATGTTTTGATCAATGGGTTTCTTTCCTTTTTTATTTTTTTGATGTTTGACTATGGTATGGTAATAATATTTGGATTTTATTGGTTTTCATATAGGATGGGAAATTGTGGGCTATTCGACTATTATCAGTGGCATGTTTATCCTTGGCAGCTAAGATGGAAGAATGTAAAGTGCCAGCTTTATCAGAGTTCGAAGTCCAAGATTATAACTTTGAAAGCAAGGTGATTCGGAGAATGGAGCTATTGGTCTTGAACACATTGGAATGGAAATTGGGTTCAATCACTCCTTTTGCTTATCTGCATTACTTCATCAATAAATTCTGTGCTGAATCTAGACCCAAAGGACTATTCTCTGATGCTATAAGACTCATTGTGGCAATGGCAAAAGGTAATCCATAACATTATAACATCCCAAATTCCCAATCTAATTAAATCTGCTTAGTTTGTTATATTTCCTAATCAATCTCCGTCCTCTAATGCAGAGATTGATTTAATGGATACTCGGCCGTCTATCATCGCAGCAGCCGCAGTTTTAGCAGCATCTGATGGTCAGTTAACTAGAAAAATGCTGGAGCTTAAGATGAGTGGGGTCTCATTGTTGCAGTCCCAAGAAAATTATGTGAGTCTACTAATTGTAATTTGTTCATTGATTTGTGTCTCTGCCACTTGTTACTGTTCATTAATCTTAAGTACGTTACCATTGCAACAGGAACATATATTTTCCTATTATAATCATATGCAGGAAATGGTGGAAAGAAAAGATAAGACACCACCCAAGTTTTCAATTTCCCCTAGTGTGTTAGCAATCCATCCAAGCTCAATGGATGTGCTTGAAAATTCAGTCGGGACGAAGAGAAGGCTTACCTTCAGCGACTCTGATCACAGTTGTCCAACAAAGAAAAATCACAGGCCATAGTTAGCAGATTTTCTTCAGCAAAGGGTTGATTTGGGGCAATTTTTTTATTGGATTATAGAGATTTTACAACTGAAAAAATGATTCTTGGTATTAGATGGGGTTTATAGGTCTAATGAGTGTGTCTTATCTACCAATTTATGGTATATATGATTTGGAATTTGATGATTGGAGTTCCAATTTCCAATACCAAACAAAAGGTTTCAGCTGGTGACAACCAAGAGGATAGAGAAAAAGGGAAAGTAAATAAATAAAAGAGGACAAGTACTACTTTAGCCTACAGTAAGAAGTTAAGAAGCTGACTGATGTCCAAAGCCATTAAGAAGGGAATGAATTCGAAGGCCAAGAGAGTGGTAGAAGGCCATTGATGACCCTTTTGTCTATAGTAAATCTTTAGTAATATTTGCTGTCATAGTGCCACTATTGCTCACCCATTTTTTTCTTTCTTTCTTTCAATTTTGGTGTAATTTTTTCTTGTTATTATTTTATTATTTCTATGTTTCATGAAAGTGAACATTTATTTATGTACTTATACATCACTTGCTAACCCTACTTTTATGGGGGCGCTTGGGATGCTTCCTATCTGTCTTTCAAAAGGCTGAAAGCCATGAGGAATGAAGAATTGTTTTTGTTTGATTTGATATATCTGTGTTGCATTTGGGCCATTGAAAGTTATAAAAAGGTGAGTGTGATTATATTTGCTGGGAATGTTGTGTTTCCCTTTTGATGAGTGGGAAACGTCTTTGATGAATAGGAAAATACTTCCTTTCGCTATTAAGACTGTACTTTGGGATGGCTCTCTCTCTCTCTCTCTCTCTCTCTTTTAATTCAAGGTCCTAGTGAAAGATTAAGAATCAAACTTTTACCGTGAATGTGAGGATAAGTACTCTTTTAACATCGTGTCGGCTATTATTTAACAACAAGAAATCTGCATAACTAAATGATTTGAATAAAAGGTAGGCCTGTTTTAGGTTCTAGATGAATGGCTTGAGATTGGTTTTGCAGATTATTTAAGTGAGGACCATGAGCAATTTCATTCAACCATGGAGGGCCAATATTGCTTTCCACCAGCAAATGCAAATGCTGATTTCTGCACTGCACCCTTTCACTGATGCTGTAGGACCCAATTGAACCATAATTATGAACCAAAGGACCCTTGTTTTGGGGTGGGGGTCGTGGGATTGGGGCATGAGATTCATGGCAAAATGGTGTCAGAGGCTCCACCCATCCACATGCCTTCTTAGGGTTCATAGGCCAGTCTAGCACAGTACACTATTGTAATTTAGCCTGAAGCAGTAGCCATACTTACTTCCTCCAGAACACTTTAGATATTATAATTGTGTATTGTGTAGCTCTTTCTCAGGAGGAGCCACAAGGGCCACACCTCTCTGCTCCCTCTGATCCAGAAAATAAGATTATAATTGTATCCAAAAAAAAGAAGAAGAAGAAAGGGTGAGAAGTGATGCATATTTGGGACACACTCATCTTCTGGTCAAGAAGCCTCAGGGGAAGGAGAACCAACCAAATCAATGAAAGCATAATTGGTCGGTTGAAAGTCTATGTTTCATTTTACCACTAGGGTTTTGGCTACTACGTTTTTATCTTCATTTTTAGTACCTCTATTTAATCCTAGGTTGGGTACATTTCAACTTCGCCCCAAAAACAAAGAAGCCTTCTGTTTAATCTTCTGCAGAATTGGGGTACACAGACTGTACCCACAAAGTCAAATGTATTTGGTCTAAAGACTTGTCTTGGATTCTGTTCTGCCCAAACAGACCTCAAAAATTACAAATTTCAATTAAAACTAAACTGTGGTTTTGTGTGATTAGTGATTTGTTATTGAGAATAGGCTCTCAAAACCAATAATGCAGGGGGAAAAGCTACTTGGTTTTTCCATTTTAGTGCAAAAATGAACTTCCATTATGTGGTTTTTTACCACATTAAGATGGTTTATGTAATTTGGACACCATATTTGCAGAATTGCAGTCTAGGATGCTCAGAAATATAAAAGGACCACGCTTTACATCCACATCATACAGACGGATCTTGTTGGTTTATGGCATGAAAACAACATTTCACTCCTTTTAAGAAGAGAAAATGACCTGGGAACCAAAGGCTAGAAAGAAAAAAGAAAAAAGAAAAATGTTGGACATTACATTACCATCTTGAGAGCATGGTATTAGAGGGCGAGCCAAAAGTTACTTTCACCTAGCTAGGCCTAAGATGGCATATTAACATTAAGTTGCACAAATATAATTCAGTATACACTTTTTCTTTTACCCAAAAAAGGAAATGAGCGTACTAGTGTAATGGTTTTGAGTAACAACTTTTTTAGGCGAGGTCCTGGGTTCGAGTTCTATTATCCGTTTAGTGTGTGTGAATTTAGTATATTATCGCCCCTCTCAATACGAAAGGTTCTATAAAAAAAAGACAAAAGAGTATGGGCATGTAATGTGTATTTTCTCCTATCTCTTGGTTTTGGAAGAGGCAAACCCATAGCAAACAAGCTGAACCCAATTGATTTTCCATCACCCCATTCCCATTGCTCCCACCAAGGCTAACAACCTCCTTAAACTCAAGGGTTGGAGTGATGGTGCCTCATAAAGCACATTGTATCCTGAGTTGGAAGGCCAACTTTAGTTGGTACCAATCCCTGCTGCACAACACTTTATTAGCAAAAGGAATCCAATCTGTCTGACTGCTTGAGCAAAGACATAAACATAAACCAAGTTTTAATATCATCAATTAGCAGCAAAGAGTTGTGAAGTTGAGTTGCATCCACCAACCAAATAAAATTGCAAATTTTTTATTTTAGCTCTACATATGATGATTATAAAAAATAAAAATAAAAAGTAAAAGTAAAAATAAAAGAACCTTGCTCGATTCCTTACCTGCAAATCGCAGTATGATTGAAAAAATAAATGACTGATTAAAACTTCAAAATAAAAATTTGCTCACACATGTCAAATGGCAATTTGTGTATAAAGAACTAAGGGGGGTGTATTCAATTCTAACTTTCAAAGACTTTTTTTAAGTGAGTGACTTTCCTAGAGTTGACAAATTCTTAATGACTTTTATATACTTGATAAAGTTAAGTGACAAACTTTCATATACTTTTGTCAGAGTTTTATAGACTTTTAAATACTTATTTTTATTGTTTTAAATTTTACGAATAGCATTTATCTTTTATGTTGAATGAACTAGTTGGCATACATGGAACAAAAAATTAGGAAAAAAAAATTTGGATACAAATCCTTATTAATTGTGTATATTTTCATAATAGCTTATTAGTAAAATGCATCCAATGCACCTTTTAAATTTTTATTTATCAAATCTAATCACATAGATAAGTAACATATTCTTATCAAAAGAAATAAATATTACTCAATCACGAATAATATTTCATAAACACTCACAAACCAACAGAAATGGTCAGATTACAAGAGTCTATATTCCCACAATTCTCCTAGCTCAATACGTGGGATGTAATCAAATTGAGAATATTATATGAAAAAATTATCCACATAATGAATTATGGGTAAAGAAACAGTACCTAAATAATAAATTAATGTGTTTAAGGGCAAAAAATTATATAATAAAATATTGTATGCAAACATAGCATATGAGACAATCAATATAATAAAATATTTATATGCAAACATAGCTTTGTGATTAAATATTGATAAGCTTCAGGATGCAAGCATGATGAAAAGAATAGAAGAAATATTCATCAACAGAGGGAAAGTACACGTGTGGATGAGAAGGGAAGAAAAACATTCAAAAAATTTTACACAACCAGAACTGAAGGAAGTGGATGACAAGATGGGTTACAAAAGTGGAGCCCTAACCATGAAGAAAAAAGACCTATCTGCTTGCTGCTTGATATAACGAGGGAAGAAAGAATTGGAGACATTTTGGTTATATCTTCCTAGCTTCCCAATATTTTTCATAAAATCTAGTGTAAATTAGCAAGACTTTTGGTAGTAAGAATTAGCTTCAAAAGTATTGAAAAGTTATTTATTTAACAAAGTTTTTAAAAGTCATTAAGATTTTGGATATCTCAAAACTTTTAAATACTCTTTAAAACTCACAATTGAATACAATTAAACTTTTAAAGACTATTTAAAAGTCACAATTGCTTCAGACTTTTAAACTCATTAAAAGTCATTAAAAGTTAGAATTGGATACACCCTCCTAAGTCATGGTTGCTTGATTTTTAATGTTTTAATTACTAAACCTAGAGGGGAAAATTAGAAGTTTTGCTACCCTATTTCTACATACTGGGTGTGGTGATCAAATGTTTTGGGTGTGTATGCCCGAGAAACATCCTAGTCTCGAATTTAAGGAGCCCGGTTCGTTTTCCCCAATGCCTCAGCGCCAAAATCCCATTTGAAAATTGAAAGGATTTAAGCGGCACCAGTCTAGTTTCTAATGTAAATAACAGACAAGTCGTTACACCCTGAGTATTATGTGTATTGCGTCCTCATTTGTCTGTCAGATTGATTTTAATCACAGACGGACTTTTCTTCCCCAGTTCATACGAAAATCGAAGGCAACGGTCTCCCCTTGTCTTCTCAGTTGTCATTTCTGAAAATAAAGAAAACGCTTCGATTCGTAAAACTCTGGCCATGGAGAAGCGGCTTCGCTCTTCTCTCCGATCCTCAGCCGACGAATTTCTGAGCTCAGCCACAAAGCAAACCCTAAAATCCTCAAAGCCCGCTCTCAAAACCCTAATTCACGCCATCAATTCTTCCTCCGACCTCTCCTCCTCTCTCCCTCTCTCTCTCTGCAACTCCATTTCCCAAACCATCCAATCCTTCCAGAACCTTCTAGACCCTAACTCCAACCCGAACCCTAGGCATAGTTCCCCACGCTCTCCTCCCACCAAGCGCCTCCGGAGGTCATCTCGGAGGTCCAAGACCCGGTCCGAACCCGAACGAGACGATCCCGACCCGAATCCTGACCGGGAAAAGCAGCGGCTTCTTTCCGAGCTTCAAGTTTTA